CCACCACACATCGAACATAATTTTTCCTAAAAATAAATCGAGTATTAACAAAATTTCATTTTAAATGTTATTTTTTTTAAAAGACAGAAAATATTTTTAAATCATGATAGAGTACAATACCATTCCCTAATTCCCACTCCAATATTATATCATTTTTTCATTTCATATCACCCACTCGTTCATCTTTTCATTCTTCATTTCATTCGTAGAAACTAATTATGTTATAATGTTTTTTAATATCTCTCATATTTTTCTAGGTACTAATGGTAAGATTTAATCAATCATCGTTGAAACTTAATTTTCATTTTATTTTGTTTCAGAATATGATTAATTCCAACGCATTTGTAAGTATTGGATTTTGATCTAAAAAAAGGAACATGCTTTTGATGCATTCATTGCATCTTTGCAAATCGAAATTAATCTTTTCTTTTTCTTGTTCAGGTTCGTTTCCAGTTTTTTTTTTCAATGGGTAGCGGGTAGATTCTTTTTTTGCGAAAAAAGGTCTACTTCAGGGATGCGACCCTGTCCTGATTTTTTCCTATTTCCATTGATTGGGAGAAAATCATGTCCTTACCTAGAATTCCCCAACCCCCTTCCCCTACGTCAAACGATCCTATGTTTAATATTTTGTTGGCAGGATGAATTATGGAGACGATGCAAAATTCTTTTCAAGAAGAGGTGAAAGAGGGATCAAAAGTGGACTGAGGTATGTTAAACGGTAGTATTTTAATATGTTTATTACTTTAATATTGTATCGCACTCGTGAGAAAAATTATTGTTAATGCACTTTCATGTTTTTATAAGTACCATGGATCAGTCCAAATTTTTACAGGTACCACAGATCATTCATTGCATCTTTGCAAATCTAAAATAATCTTTTGTCTTTCTTCTTTAGATTCGTTTTCAGGGCCACTTTTCTTCTTCTTCCCTACCCCATGTTTTTTTGTTGTTGCAGGTTCACACGAGGACCAAACGTGGACTTAGTTATAGTAACGGATGGTATAAGGAAATTATTATTATAGTAATTAAAAATATATAATTTTTATCTGTTTATTGTTCTCCCTGTAGCATCGTACGCGTGTTTATTCTTAATGTATTTTATTTGTTCATAGGTTCCATGGAACAATCCCATAATTGCATAATTTTTGTGTATTGTTTTACTTTATTTTATGTAGATTGAGAATTATTTTCTACGAAATATTCATAAATCGTAATCTGCGTATGTGTATTTTTCGAAATTATATTGGAGTGTGTTAATTTTCAATTAAAATCATCGATGTTACTTCAATTCTATTCAGATGCATTCCTAGTTTTATGTTGGTGTTTAATATTCAAACTTTCCTCTGTATTCTCGTTTACTATTGTAATGTTTTTTAGGTGAAACTCTCTTAGGGTGGGGCCTAAGAGTGGGGCTCATTTAAAAACGTTCTCGGGGTGTGATCATTTTCTTTGGTTTCAATTCAATTCGGATGAGGACATCTTCAGGATGCACATCCCGGGTCTTCGGAAGCGGTTACCTCCTCGTGGTTAGACCTGGGCAATGGTGTTTTACTTTCAGTATAATGTTTATCATATTTTATATGATATACATTCCATTGCAAGTAAAATCCAGCCAAAGACCGCTTACCATAAACATTATAATTGTAATTAGTTTCTTTTAATGTCCCGATTGATATCATATTCCTTTACTCCTTTCCTTGGTTCCTTTTATTCATTTAATATACAGAAACTAATTACTTTATAATGTTTTTTAGTAACATTTATATTTTTACAGGTACCAAATGGAACAATTAAGAATTATTTATGCCAAATTTTTTAGTTTACTTATTGTTAGTTTCAGAGATAAATGTGTACGCATTGGTTTTTAAATAAATTTTATAAGTTTACAATACTTTTTTTTATTTACAGGCAAACAACTGTAGCGATTAATAAAAAGTCTTGCAGTCGATGCATTCATTACATCTTTATGTCCTATTTCTTTGTTTTTCGTGTATTCAAATCTTCAAGTGGTTCCTCGAGGCAAAAACTATGATGAAGGATTTTTAGGTGGATGAAATTATTTCTATTAAATTTTTTTCAGGTGTGACAGTCGTCTTGATATACATATCTTATTATAAATAAATTTCTCTTGTTTTACTCGCTAATGTTAAAAATTGCTTTCATGATCTGTATAGTTTTAATACACGTGTATAATAAGCGTTTTTAAATTAAGTTTTAAGTATACACAGCAACTATAGAAAAAAATAAAAGAAAAGATCTATTTTATATCTTAGAAATATCTATGTATAGATATTAAAAACAATCAAGTGCTAAAAAGTAATTATATAAGATAAGTTTTGTACTTTGATCGATGTATTCAGTATATCAACGTGAATTTACTTTGATGTTCCTGAAAAGTACGAAAATATAAATTAATCGAAATCCGAAGTAGAAATAATAAAAGTAACAACGTATCGTATATTTATGCATAGATTTACCAGGAACAATAAAATTGAAAACTGGATATCTTGGTGCAAATGGTAGATCAGCACCATAAACGGAATTCGAATCATCTTCGTCTTTGATATTATCAGCCTTTTGCATACATTCTTCGTAAGAAGGCGGTGCTATAAAAGAATAAGATTAACTATTTATTTTATATATATTCTGTAAACATTTCATTATTTATATAAACATTTGAAGAATTTTTCGACTCACGCATGTTCCATCCTACTGGAGGATTTGGTGATCGAGGCTCATTGAAAGATGGTTCTTCATCAATAATTGGGGCTGTTGGATTAGTATTATTTGTTGAAGGTAATGGTGTCCATGTTGGAGAAAATAAAGGTAGCGTTCCGATTAAAATTGGGTATTTTCTATCGACTTTAATGTGCCTGTTGAATGCATTATATTATTTTATTTGTTTTACGTTCACATAACTATCGATAGGCATTTAAAGTAATATTTTACGTGCTTTAAAATAAAAACAGATTTTGAATTTGTTTTATACTCACATGCCACTAACATGAACGTTCACCCGCAGTTGATATTTTAATTCAATAATACCACAATATTCTAAATTAGATGGTGGAAGAGATGGGACATATAGTTTAAGATTCGATTGATGAATCGCTTTAATTGGTCCTTCGTCTTGATCCCTTTGTATTACGATTAAATCTTTTTTTGTTGAGCCGTGCGCGTGGAAGATAAGTTCCTAAAAATCTGGTTGTTCACTATAGCTACAGGATTTTAAATATATTTAGGTTAAATTTATCCGAAATGATTAGAAAATAATTACTTCTTCTAATTTCGCGGAAATTTTCGTTACATGAACTTTCTCCGATTTCATATTAGAAAATACTTCAGTCATTATGTATTGTCCCGGAACGTATCCTGAACTTGGAACTCTTACTCGAACACGTAACGAACCTCTATTAAAGCATAAACAATAAAAATCCTTTGACGACTCATCGTCTATTCCTAACTGAAACCAAAATATCATTTCTTAATATGTCTTTTTAGAAATTGTTTTTCCTTTTATTTTTGTGTGTGTGTGCATAAAAAAGGATTACTTACGCATTGATGCGAAAGGGGGTTCAAATCAAGTCCCGTTACGACTGTGAATGCAGATTTAGTCCACCAATCGAAATTCCATGGGATATCGACGATTGCTTTTGCCGTATAACGAATGTATCCTACTTTGTGTTCGAAACTACACGGTATGTTTGTTGGTAATTGAAAAGAAAAATAATATATGCTTTCTCCTTCCGGAAGTTCGACTCTGTCCTCCTCTACATTTTAAATGAATTGTTAATTAATTAGAATCGCATTTTTTTTTCGATCGGAGAAACTTTATATCGGATAAGTTATGCTTACCTGTTGATTTTCTTAACAGAGATTGTTCAATACTGAAATATTTTTCCGTAGCGGTGTGGTGTACTGTTCTTGTAACTCTTTTACCTTGTGAATTTCGTTCGCTTCGCGATGTCGTCCAATGGACTCGTGATTCTCCTTTGAAATATATCTTTAGATCTGAAATCGATTTGTTTTTTAAATATTGTTAACAAATTCTTATTTAATTTTTTTTTTTTTTAATAAAATTCAATCGAAAGATAAAATGGGTAATGAAGATTTTTAATGCTTAGAATTTATATATTATCCTTTTTATAAATATAATAATTTAAAATGGTAAATATTAATTACTAAATTTTTACTTTATATCTCTTTTTATTACTAGTTTTCTTTAGATCATTAAAGTGAATGACTAAAGTCAAGCAACGAGGGTACCATTAGTACATGAATGTGTAATCCGTTAGGAAAACTAAAAACCACAACTTGTTAACTCCAAAGAGATTGTAAAAAATGCGATCTCTTTGATAATATTAAATATAGTGAAGTGGTGTTAGTTAAAAAACAGACTCGAACTCTTAAAAGGGAGAATAAAAAGACGAGAAGAAGATCAGTATTAAATTTTAATGTTTCCATTGTTTAATTTATTTTTTAAATCGCATGAATAGAAAGTACATTATTACATGAATGAAAATATATATTCTTATTTCGGAAAATATTATTTATATATATTCCTCTCTGATAATATTTGATAAAATTTTCGACGTTAATATCTTTCTTCCGTTTCGTTCTTCAATAATACACTTCGATGAATCAGTAAATCATATCGTTAATCGCGCTAACACTTTCCCTTATCTTTGAATATTTTTTGCTTAGATAATAAATTCTGACGAGATTTGTTATCTATGTAAACTTAATTATTATTTAAAATGCATTTATTTTCGTGAAAATATATTCAGTTGATAGATAGAAATGTTATTAGATGATATATTAATCCTTCGTAAAAATATTTAAATATATTACTGTGTAATGTATACAGGAGATTGACAATACACACATTTTTTATTTATTTATTGCAATCATTATTTTATATTATCTATTCACTTTTTCATATTGTATTATTTAATTCCAAGAAAGATCTTTCGCGTATTCTCAGAAATTTACATAATGTATTAGATTGAAAAATCGATGAATTAAATGATCGTATAAGAGACGTCGACAATATTTTTTTTATACGTTACATTCCCTGATCATCATTTTTAATAATGAAAGTAATAATTAATATTTAAGCGTTGTTTTTATTGTTCTTTATTTTCGTATATCTTACAACTAGAAATAATACACCTTTTTCCTACATGTTGATTAATGAGTCACTCGTAAGCAAACTTGATAGACTTCATAGAAATAAAAGTAGATGAAAATGATAATATAATGTACGTTATCCTATCATATATTATTTAACGACTTTAACAAATGTACTTTAGTGAGATTGAGTTTATTTATATTAATGCAACTTAATTTAAATATACAAAATTAATTAATTATGCGAAAGATAAATTTAAAAAATTGTTAAAAGTCTAGTTAATCGCTTGTGTTGATATTTCTTACCTCGAACACTTTTCCTTTCATCCAATACGATTATTACACAACCAGTTATATTTTCTCCTGGAATGTAAGTTGCACTGAGTTTATCAAATTTGACAATGAAAGTTCTCGGAGACATTTTTACTATTCACAATTATACAATGTTGATTTGGAAAATGAGGAAAAATATGCTTGATAATTCTTTGTATCGATTATCGAATGACGTAATAAAAGTAGTTAGTTCACGTGATTATCTATTGAACATCATTCTTGTACTAACAAAGACCATGCACGCAATGATGCTGCTAACCTGTTGGTTTCCCCTTCTACCATTCGATGTGAACATGTATGTATTAGTCGAAGTTGCATAGATGTTTTAGAACTTCTTCGTATGCTGATTTTTTACGCTATTCAGCACCTTTTCCATGACGTATATACGACTTCAGCGTTATGAATGGATAAAATATGAACTACACTGACAAGCAGACAGTGTCGCCATCATGCTCCTATGGTTTTGGATTGTGCACAAGATTGTTATATCGGTAACACTTCGTCAAAGGGTAACTTTATTAATTACTGGGTTATTGTTGTTTAGAACAATCTTCTTGAATTTTTGTACTTTTTTAGTTCAGTTAAAATATAAGAAATATTGCACGAAATGACTAGAAGCGAGGACAGACATAAAAACCAATGTTATATTAATTTTTATTACATATTACTTTACATGTGTTTACATAAAGCCTTATTGTGTTACATTGACTACACACATATCTTATAAAAAATTAATTTTTCTCTCTACACTTTTTTTTTCGTTCGTGTAAAAATTGCTTTTTTGATCTGCATACTTTTTATACGCGTGTAATGATCGCTTTGAAGTAAGTTTTAAGTTTTTTTTTACACAGGAACAGTAGAAAAAATACACAAAAAGTTCTATTGTATAACTTAAAAATACTTATCTATAGACATTAGAAACAATCAAGTGCTAAGAAGTAATTATATAGGATAAGTTTTGTACTTTGATCGATGTATTGAGTATATTAACGTGACATTAAGTAATTTATTTTGATGTTCCTAAAAAGTACGAAATTATAAATTAATCGAAATCCGAAGAAGAAATAATAAAAGTAACAACGTATCGTATATTTATGCATAGACTTACCAGGAACAATAAAATTGAAAACTGGATATCTTGGTGCAAATGGTAGATCAGCACCATAAACGGAATTCGAATCATCTTCGTCTTTAATATTATCAGCCTTTTGCATACATTCTTCATAAGAAGGCGGTGCTATAAAAGAACAAGATTAACTATTTATTTTATATATTCTGTAAACATTTCATTATTTGTATAAACATTTGAAGAATTTGTCGACTCACGCATGTTCCATCCTACTGGAGGATTTGGTGCTTGAGGTACTGTTGGTAGAATAATTTCAGGTCGGGGTATAGGCATAGGTATAGGTTTTTCAGGAGCAGACGCTGACAGTTCTTCATCAATTAATGGCGCTGTTGGATGAGTATTATTCGTTGAGGCTAATGGTGCACATGGTAGAGGTACTGTTCCTATTAATATTGGATATTTTTTATCGACTTTTTTGTGCCTGTTGAATACATAAATTTATTTCATACGTTGCATGTCACGTGACTATCGGTAGACATTTAATATAATATTATTATTTGTATTACCAGAGTTTTTAATACCATTAAGAGCGAAACGTGCTTAAAAATAAAAACAGAAATGGAATTTGTTTTGTACTCACATGCCATTAACATGAACGTTCACTCGTAGACGATATTTCAATTCAATGATACTACAATTATTTAAATTAGATGGTGGGAGAGATGGGACATATAGTATTAGATTCGATTGATGAAGCTGTTTAATTGGTCCTTCGTCTCGAACCTTTTGTATTACGATTAAATCTTCTTTTATTGAGCCGTGCGCACGAAAGATAAGTTTCTAAAAATCTTATTGTTCACTATAGCCGCAAGATTTTTAGTATATTTATGTTTAATTTATTCGAAATGATTAGGAAATATTTACTTCTTCTAATTTCACGGAAATTTTCGTTATATAAACTTCCTCCGATTTTATATGAGAGAATACTTCAGTCATAATGTATTGTCCTGGAACGTATCCTGTACTTGGAACTCTTATTCGAACGCGTATCGAACCTGTATTGAAGCAACAACAGTAAAAATCCTTTGACGACTCATCGTCTATTCCTAACTGAAACCAAAATAACATTTCTTAATATGTCTTTTTAGAAATTGTTTTTGAAGTTATACTTCTTTTGGCGTGTTTTGGAAAGTGAAGTTAGATGATGCGACCAAAAAATCGACACCACGAAGTTGTCGATATTTACGATGCGCGGGAAAATTAAAATTATTTTTCAGGTTATTGAAGTTATATTCGTTTTGGTACGCTAAAGAAGTATAACTTCTTACGTGCATATATAAGTAAACACATTAGTTATATTTTTTTTGTGCAAAAAAAAGGATTGCTTACGCATTGATGCGAAAGGGGGTTCAAATCAAGTCCCATTACGACTGTGAATGCAGATTTAGTCCACCAATCGAAATTCCATGGGATATCGACGGTTGCTTTAGCCGTGTAACGAATACGTCCTACTTCGTGTTCGAAACTACACGGTATGTTTGTTGGTAATTGAAAAGAAAAATAATATATGCTCTCTCCTTCCGGAAGTTCGACTCTATCCTCCTCTACATTTGAAATGAATTGTTAATTAATTTGAATCGCATTTTTTTCGATCGGAGAAACTTTATATCAGATAACTTATGCTTACCTATTGATTTTCTTAACAGAGTCTGTTCAATACTGAAATATTTTTCCGTAGCGGTGTGATGTACTGTTTTTGAACTTCTGTTACCATTTAAATCTTCTTCCGTTTCTGTTGTCGTCCAATGAACTCGAGCTTCACCTTTGAAATATATCCTTAAATCTGAAATCCATTGTTTTATGATGATGTTTAAATAAATATTCACTTACTTTTTTCTTTATTATAATTCTTTCGAAAGATAAAATAGATAATGATGATTTTTGTTAGGTACTTAGAATTTATAGTATTATTTTTAGTTGGAGACAGTAATTTTAAATTATAAATTTTAATCACTAAATTTTTAGAAGCTAATGGTTTCATTACGTTGGATTATTACTTTCTTGTAGATCACTAAAGTCAAGATAGTTTCAATAGAAACATAAATGGGTTATCCGTTCAGAAAACCAAAAACTATATGTTATTGACTATGTAGTGGTTGTAAAAATTGCGACATCTTTGGTGTTATTGAATATTGTGAAATGATGTTAGAAGTGAAGTGATTCCAACTTGTAAGAGAGAAGATAAAAAGAAGAAGAATGTTAATATATAACGATTATAATGTTTTATTTAATTTAAAAATCTCATTAATAGAAAGTACATTATTACGTAGGTGCAAAAAAAATTCGTAATTTAGAGAATATTATTTATCCTTTTTTAATAATAGCAGATAAAATTTTCGATGTTAATGTCTCTCTTCCGTTTCGTTCTTCAATAATATCTTCGATGAATCAGTAAATAATATCGGTAATCACGCTAACACTTTTCCTTATTTTTGAATTTATTTTACGTAGATAATAAATTTTCACGATATTTTTTATGTATATAAACTTTAATATTATTTAAAATGCATTTATTTTCGTGAAAATATATTCAGTTGATAAATAAAAATATTATTAGATAATATTTGAATCCTTCGTAAAAATATTTAAATATATTACTGTGTAATGTATACAGGAGATTGATAATACACACATTTTTTATTTATTTATTGCAATTATTATTTTATATTGTCTATTAACTTTTTCATATTGTATTATTTAATTCCAAGAAAGATCTTACGCGTATTCTCAGAATTTTACATAATGTATTAGATTGAAAAATCGATGAATTAAAGGATCGTATAAGAGACTTCGACATTATTTTTTTTATACGTTACATTCCCTGATCATCATTTTTAATAATGAAAGTAATAATTAATATTTACGCGTTGTTTTTATTGTTCTTTATTTTCGTATATCTTAAAACTAGAAATAATACACTTTTTTCCTACATGTTGATTAATGTGTCACTCGTAAGCAAACTTGATAGACTTCATAGAAATAAAAGTAGATGAAAATGATAATATAATGTACGTTATCCTATCATATATTATTGAACGACTTTAACAAATGTACTTTAGTGAGATTGAGTTTATTTATATTAATGCAACTTAATTTAAATATACAAAATTAATTAATTATGAGAAAGATAAATTTAAAAAAATGTTAAAAGTCTAGTTAATCGCTTGTGTTGATATTTCTTACCTCGAACACTTTTCCTTTCATCCAATACGATTATTACACAACCAGTTATATTTTCTCCTGGAATGTAAGTTGCACTGGGTCTATCAAATTTGACAATGAAAGTTCTCGGAGACATTTTTACTATTCACAATTATACAATGTTGATTTGGAAAATAAGGAACAAATATGCTTGAAAATTCTTTGTATCGATTATCGAATGACGTAACGAAAGTAGTTAGTTCACGTGTTTATCTACTGAACATCATTATTATACTAACAAAGTCCATACACACTCTGATGCTGCCAACTTGTTAGTTTCCTCACTACTGTTGAATTTATATACGCATTGGTGCAAGTTTTACGGATATTATTAGAATTGATTCATCGGCTGGGTTGTTACGCTTTTCGGCATCTTATCTGCGGTGCATATTTGACTTCAGCGATAGCAGTGGATAAATTATGAACTATACTAACAAGCAAACAGTGTCGCCATCATGCTCCTATGGTTTTGGTTTCTGCACAAGATTGTTATATTGGTTACATCTCATTCATAATATTTCTGCCTCTGTAGATCGGTGAAAATGTAAAAAATATTACGTTAATCGATTAGCAGCGAGGAAGAAAATAAAAACCAACGTAGAACATTTATTTTTTATTAAATATTACTTTAATAAAATTAATGCTCGTAATTTTAGCCAAATTTTCGCAATATGGTAGCAGTTATTTAAATTAAGAAAAAATATCAACGATTTATAGGGAAATTGTTGCAAAAATTGTAATTATAAAACAAATGTTTTGAATTTTTCGAAAAATATTCCTAAGCATTTTCTAGCAACATATTATGTTTATAAATAAGTTTTCGCGGGCTTATTAGTATTAAATAAATGGGACACACAATCTTATTCACCGTTATTTCCTACGATAATAATTGCACGTCATCGATAGATTATGTTGTCAAGTTATTCTTTTAGAAATTATTAGTGATATATTAAAATATAATCTTGTTTAACTTACGTCAATCACGTATGATTGTTTTTTTACGTTATCAATTTTCTATATTTTTTATTTCAACGATGCAATCTGTTTGAGGTAACACTTCGTAAGAAGTGTCGCTATATTTTTATAAATTTAAAAAAATGTTAGACTTTATTATATTATGCTTAAAAAAAATTCTTTACAGTTAATTTATAGTAAATGTCAATAATTATTGACAAATTCGAACTTTAGCAACGTTTATCTATTCAGCATTTTATCGAACGATCCAGAGAACGTGTTAATATTTCGAAAATTAACCTAGAGATGGAACTAGCGTCTGGGAAATAAATAAATATATTTTTTAAATCGAAAAAGCTCTCTGTATTTTTTAGAATTTCTAAATTCTAAGAGCTTTAAAATAGACTTGTGATTTATGAATAAAACAAAAAGTCTAATTACATTTAATAATCCGTTAATTCTATTATATGATGATTTATTTAACTTATTTAAAATATTACTTTATTATCTTTGGATAAGGTTCGATGATAGAAATGGATTTGTATTTGTTTCATTCATTTTCGAACCTTAATCAGAAATCAAAATAACCTTATCGAAGTTTTATCAGTTTTATATTGTTGTTTTGATTTAATTTAAATCACTCAATTTATAATAGTGTTTATTTTACAATTAAATAATCTTTATATGAATTTAACATTATAAAATTTATTCAATTTGTGTATCAAATTTTTTGAAATTCAACATATCCATGTTTATTGAAATAAATGTTATAGAACTTATTACATTTTGATAAGAATATTTAAATAACATATAAAATTGTTTCAAAAATATCTTCCTAGCAGATTATCTTTTTTTTTTTTTCTATTTTCCGACACATCTTTTTAATTTCCTTCTTCATTTTCCAATCACATTTTTCTTTTGCTAATTGTTCATCTCTTGAATTTTTCTGACTTTGTTTTTAATCTTGGTTCGTGCTTGTAAACACGTTATTTATGAGACTATCACTTTTATCTGTTTTCTTATTCTTATTATTACATTCTAATATATCTTATTCTATTATAGAAATTTTGTGTTTTGTATCTGTATTATTTCTCGTTTTTTTTTTTTTTTTCATTTGATGTATTTCTTCTTTTTTTTATACTTCTACAAATATTGATCTCATGAATCGTAAATTTATACTGTCGTAATATTTTTGTTCCAATTCTTAAATTAAACTGAACTGAACCGAAACTAAAATGTATTTAATTTTTCGTTCAAATGTAAGTCAAGAAATGGAGAAGAAATTTTATCAGTCGCGAAACACTGTTTCCGATGTAAAATATACTATACTAAGCTTGCGACACTGCTATTTTATGATGACTTGCAATGGAAAAATTTATGAATGTTGTTGAATGTGTATATATAATAAAATCCTCAATTGAAAGGCTATTTTTCCGAGTGACATTACCCCTTAAGATATGAATCTTTTACCCCTTTAATATGAATCTAGTAATAGAATTGTTAAAAAAGTATGTGACTATGATGACATCACTTCAACTACTCGCCAAAAACATATTTTTAATTTTTCTATTAGATAATACAGTTTTTGGGACACTATATATAATTCTACTACTGTTATATACTACTATTATAATTGTAATACTGTTTTATAGGTGAAAATATGACCATACATTATATAGGCAATTATATATATTTTACTTGAAGGATCTCGAGATTGAATCACGTGTGCAACAAGACAGAAAAAGAGAGAGATATGTAGAAATAGAAAACAGTAGGATGTAAATTTAAAGGTCATCAGTTAGGTTTGAGTTATTCGATGTGGAACAGATCGTAACGTATAAGGGTGAAGGTTTGGAACGTATCTGGGAAAGGTACGTAAGTGGTGAGAAAGATAGAGATAGAGTGAGAAAGAGGGTAGGGATGCGTTGAAGTAGAGAGTGAGGGTGACTTATATGCGCGTTCCACCCCCTCAGTAGCGTGCGGGCCATCGACGAGGCAGGTAGCCACGCTTTCTCTCGTATTGTTATCATCTTGATTCGATACTATAGTAAATATCAAAAGTTCATTGTTTCTTCTCCTTACGTTGTTTGTTTCATATTTATTTGACTCTCTTCTTCTTCTTCTTATTCTTCCCTTATCTCAATTATTTCGTTTCCCTTTTTCATTTATTTATTTTTCTTTCCTTCTTTAAATCTTGTTCATTATTTTTTGTTTATTTATTATTTTGTAGATATCAACGAAATCACATTTTTCTTCGTTTTCTTGGAATTTATTATCATCTCTGACAGAGTGTAAAGTAAAAAACGAACGCAGTAACCCGGTGCAAGTAGTCTTCTTCTACGATCAACAGGTTAACTCGCGTTGGCCGCATGACGAATTCTGTAAGTCAACGATACATTATTGTACCTAAATTTTCTTTGATTCTCTATGTTCTTCTTTTTTTCATCTTCTTCTTTTTTTCACATTTTTCTGTTCTTTTTTATAATTAATAATTCTTCTAGCGCGAAATTCTTTTGAGAGAATATTTTATATAGAGATATTGTATCTTTTGTCGCTTATCTAAATTAAAATAAAAATTATAATTTTTTTTTTTTTTTTGTCGATAATATAATTGTTATCTTTTATTAAAGACTTGCTACGGAGTACAGCCCTTTATAATGTTAACTGTTGCAATAGAATAAAAGCGAGACTAGTCTGAATAATTCCCATATATCTATGTATAGAGTAGAAAAATTTAATAAGATGTCACAAAGGCTTCTTCTCTCAACATTTTATTGTGAATGTGGTAATATCTTATTCTATTCTATTCTTTTTTCTTCCTCTTTTACGATGATTTCATTTATCTTATTGTCAATGCGTAGGCATACTAAATTTTAGACAAATATATTCTTTTGATACTTGCTTTATAAACAACTAGAGACGAATTTTTTATTTCTTTTTCTTTTTTTACCGCTTATGTTATTTATGTGAAAAACAATATAATGCACGTTGAAAACCGTTATCCTATTAATTTCCTTAAACTCGTATAGTTTTTGATATCATTACTAGGTATATCACTTTAGAAGCATATTTTCTATTGTTTTTCGCATCGATGTGTAAAAAGAGAGCTCTCTCTCTCGTTTATTTCACCTTTCATAAATCTCGAATATTCATTACAAAAGATCTTCTTTCTTTCTCTCTCTCTCTCTCTCTCTCTCTCTCTCTCCTTCTCTTTCTCCCATTTTCTCAGACAAGGGTGAATTTTCTTCGCATTATCATACGAAGCTATAGAAACTTGCGTAACTTACAATCATCCTGTTTGCATTAGACTCGCCAAATGGAAACAATGACTTTGTATTTTTGCATTATATATCCAGATCTAATGAGTTTTCTTTCAAATGTTGTCCAAGTGTTTAGATAATTCTTATGGTCGTTGAGTTGTTTTTCTTTTTTTTTATCCTCAATTACTTTATAACACACGTGTAGGAAAGTAAATTAGATTCTGAGTAGATATAATGAATATTTGATTTGACGAAGAGGAATAGAGAAAATGAAATAAAGAAAGGGAGAAAGAGTGTAAGGAAGATAGATAGACATCATAATTCAAATTTATATTTTATTTATGTTAATATCGATAACAATCAGAAGATGAATCATCATCATCATCATGGAGAAAAGATAAGGAAATTTCAATGTTAAGGATATCAAGGAAGAAGGTGTGTGAATTTAAAGAATTTTTCATATAATTAAAAGAAGATAGTGAAAGAGAAAAATTGAAGAAGACAATTTAGAAAAGTCATAGAAAAATGGCAACGAATAGTCCAGAAACATCGACCCACTTAAAATCTCCAAGGAGTCCACGTCAGCTTCCTCAATTACCGCAGATACCGATTTCAGGACAAAGGAGTCCTAGTCAATTGTCGGTTACGAATACACCGGGTACACCTCTTGTATTTAAATTTCCAGCCGAATATTATCCGGAAACACCTAACGCGAATTTCGATTTCGATACGTTCAATCGTGCCACAGATTCTGATAAGATTGGATCATCGCGAAGTCCAACTTATTATTCGTCGAATAAAAATCAAAAAAGTCTAAATAGCAGTGATACCTCGTTGCATTCGATTAACAGAAAATCATCTGTTTTTCAATTTTGTGATCCTAGAAAGAGTCTTGGTAAGACAATGAGTTATCCACCTAAAAGTCCAATATCATCTTCAAATGATAGTACAATGAAGGATAGCAGCCATGGATCAGTAAGTTCTTTTAATTTTACTCCGAAAAGTCCGAAAATGTTCGATCGTCGAAGAAATTCATCATTCGGTTTGAGTGGATTTAACAGTCCAAAATCACCGACGATAGTTGCTCCTACATCTTCCTCCTCTCACTGTAGTCCGAAACACTCAGATTCGGAATTGAGATCTCCTAAGGAAGGAAACTTTGCCATTAAAAATGATAACGTTGATCGAAATTGTTCGGTGAACGAGAAAATTCGTGCGAGTAAAATGGGTGGTTACTTGAATCGTAGCCAGGGATGTTTGAACGATACTACTCGAAATCGTGAAGGAAGTTCTCTTAATAAAAGAAATAATAAAAAGGAGAAAAATATGGCCAGGAGATCGACCAGTGATCTCACCGAGATTGGAGATGCTGAAACCGAAGTGACTCTATTGTCTAGTCCAAGAAGACGAGGATCGATGAAAGGTGGATTAGGTAAAATTACTATATTTTTTGTTTTCTCTATTTTATTATTAACAATTTCAAATATAATTTTTATAAATATATATTATATTGTTTTTACCCTGGTCGCGTCTATTGACATGTATCGTATTGTTAACAAATTTTTAAACATTATTTTATCAATAGCGATTTGAATATAAGATAATATGGTCAGCTTGATATTTTTTTAAAGTTTATTATCGTTGGTATTAGCGGTAAAATAAACTTATGTAATATCAATTGAACGCGTATTCGTGAAAAGTCAATAGAAGGACAATCGATGGGTAAAAAGTAAACGATTTTCTTTTTTAATCCTGTTTGGTTACACGTGTGCACGCGTAATGAAGGTAAAAGGAACAATCACTCATTCCTGCGTCGTCGTTACGTACACATAAAAGCCCAAAAAGCCAAACTGTCGATAATTGCTTTTTGCGATGGTCTTTACGAGCAAGATTCAATCTAACGAGATTTGAAAATCAATGATAAAAGTATTTCACGTTGGTAGACAATACTTTTGTTGTTATAATCTTTTATATATTATTATTCATTGTTTCTTTTTCTTTTTTACTTTTTTTAATTACACAAAATTGTTAATATTTTTAATTTATTATTAAATAATTTAAATGATATAAATGTGTTAAATAAAATAATTGCAATAGTTGAACAATTATTTAAAACATTTTAACGAGTTACTTTTATTGTTTCATATTTATAATTTTTCAAATTCTAATACATTTTTTCACGGACGTATTATAACGAGAATAATTAAAAACGCGTTGGAGTGGGTGATTTCAATTATTCTCTTTTCCCTCAATAGCTAGCTTACACATTTAATTCGAAATCCTTCCTGCTTTCTTTATCTGAAAAGTCAAGGATTTAGAAGGTCAATACTTAAAAGTAGAAAAGCTTGCCCTCAGGCTTAGAATACGTTCCTTTGTTTCACAAGTTTCTATTATGAAAATTGATTTTTGTATATAAGTTTAAGTTAAATATTAAATTACTTATAACATTGATCATTTTTATATAACTGAAATACTCTTATTATGTTTAAAAAAAAGACAAGTAATATAATTTAAAATCAATAATAAAAAACTATTACTGATATAACTAACAAGCAAACATGAAACTTCCAATATTAATACTTTTTAGTTCTGTGTAACTCTGATTTTATGATATTTCTTTCTGTTTAATTTAATTGTGTATTCATATTGTTCTGTAATTCTTTTTTTGTATATTACCAGTAAAATTCATTTTTGCAATTATGAATTCCATTTTTAAATATCCAATTAAATCCAATAGTTTCTTTACAAGTGTTTCATTTATTGTTAACTTACAATTCATTAAATTGATATTTGTTGGCTTAAAGATACATACACATTTTCTTAAAAAGAATTTTGTGAACTCTTTTAATTTATTCCTTATTTGTGCCTTAGAGGGTTAAATAACATTTATTGATGTATCAATAAAATAAAACAATATTTAAAGAATATATAATATATTATATA